ATCCGCGAACCTAAAAAGCTTGAAAGATTGAGCGTCGAAACCCAAAGACCTCCAAACTTCTCTGTTTCCTGTGAGAATGAAGAACCTTCCTCGCAGGGTTGGGTTCAAGGTTGTTGATCTGCTTCAATATCTCCTGCAGCACATTAGGGGCCTGCTGGCGTGAGTAGGAGGTTGTGGGTTTGTGAAGCTACAGCTGAAGATCTTTATTGCTCGGCTCGTATGGGTAATCCATCGACTTAGAGAAATCGTGCTTCAAGTAGCTCTGTTACGAGAAACGCTGCTGGGCGTAGAGCTTCGTTCGTAAGTCATTGTCATAGTTTGCTCTGTAAGGCTATAGCGGCTATAAACAATAAGAAGAACCATGCTATGACAAGACTGCGAAGATGAACAAGAGCAGCCACAATCATCTAGCGTGATTCTTCTTATTGTTCTTCGACGTCTTCAGATTGCTGTACCAGCATGGTTGCCACTGAGGATATGCCCTGAAATCTTGATAGGACGTAGATGCGGCTCCATCACCTTTGCCGGTCAAGGTCAAGAGCAGCGCTTACTGTTCTGTTACTTTATCTTCTCCACTAAGCAATGACATCATACCGGCCAAGGGGTAATAATGCCAGGCTTGCCGAAGACGGAAAGGAAATATTAATAGGACGGAGGGCAGTGGCAAGGCTGGCTGTGGTTGCACGTAATGGCAAGAGTGGTATCCAAGGCAGAAATAGTTGTGTTGCCTATCACTGGTGATCATGGTGCAGGCCAGGTAGAGCGGCATGAATTGTGATGGGAACATGTATCTTTGAAGTGATAAGAATGAAGAGAGTCTCAAAGGCCGGTCGTAAAGTCAATGAAGAATTTACACTTTTAGTGTTATGTTTAAGTTTCCAATTTGCTGGCGTTGTTGCAGTCCAGATGGAGCATGTGGCATTGCTATATGTTGACAACGGTGCAGCCAGAGAAGTCAACTGTTAATGCCGGTTGCAGTCGCATTTGTGCTCCGATCCTGCCTTCATGTGCCGGTGCTGAGAAGCATTGCCTGTGCTGGTGCTGATGGCAATCATGAGTGTGACAGGAACGGTGATTTCAACATCTGTAACCTTAACTGGAACTATGTTAGCGCGGGACCCCCGAGCCTGGAATAGTCTTCAGGGACGTCATCGAGGAGTTGCACAGCCTGACCCTGCCCTCGAACATGCCTCGAGCATCCAAGGATGATCGCCACGCCGCAAGTAAGAGCGAGAGGACGTAGGATGACGTAGGGTTTCTCTAAACAAGCATCCCGCTTTGGGCTGCCCAAGGAGTAAGTTACTCAAACGCCCCGAAAGAGCCCTCGCCTCAAGAATCCACTCTGTGATCTTTGAGGTGCCGCCGCCTCCAGCGTCGATCTCAGCCTGCTCCTCCTTGCCAGAGTACCTGCGACTGCTGCCTGGCGACACAATGTAGGGTTTAGCACGCTAAGGTTCCCCACGACAACGTCCGACGCCTGAACACCAACCCCCAGATGCAAAATCCTCGGGGAGTTTTGCCCTGCACCTCTCAATACACGCACCGGCCAGAGTTGGAGTCGTAGTCGAGCCGTCAGCTTCGGAAAAGTGCATCCATTGAGGCAAAATCGGGTAAAGCGCTTTCAATACGTGCTACGAACAGCAATGTGGGGTTCAGGGCTTGGAATGATACCAATTGCTCTTGTTTCATACACGTGCAATCGTCATGTGTAGCCGGCATCAGCCAAGTCCATTGCTTCCAAGAAGGGCTTGGAATGTGTGGTGATCAATTTCCACACATGTCCCCTGAGCATTGCTCCTTGCTGGTGGGATATAGAGCTCCAGGATGCTCCAGGATCAAAGACAGGCAACAAAAGTACGGGTCAATACCTCTAGTCTCTGCAGGACAAGCTGGCGCTCTTCCAGAGCAGCCTGAGAAGGGAAGCCCTTACTTGAAACGACTTTGCTCCTCATATAGGGCAGTGAGAAATTCCTGCCTTTTTGATCCTCAGGATTACAGACTATATTTATAGTACAGCTCGTCTAACGGATACTACAAGCAAGTCAGGAAAGCCGCAGCTACTCGGCGAGCCATCTTGCGCGGCGAGATCCATGCGGCAGCCCCTAGCAGGAACTCAGTGTTCAATGGCAGGAACTGCGGCGGTCTATCTTCTTCAGACGGTGTCGTGTTGAGGCTGATGAGGTGAATTCGTAAAATGAGGTAATGAGGGGTCCCTTATTGGTGGTCCTTAATAGTGAGGACCTGCTTAGCCTTCATGTTTCTGACACCCGCTTTCTCTTCGGATTATTGTTCGGAGTGTACCCAAACCCTGACATTTGTGTGGGTTCCAAAGTATCCCTATACTTATGCCCCAAAACCCCATTCCAGTCATTGAGGACGCTATGAAAGGCCGTGAAGCTACCTGAAGCAAGAAGCAGGCAGCCTTAAAGCCCAAAGGTCACAAACCCCATAGTAGTGCCCAGAAGGCCCACTCCAAGAACGTCCAGGAAATGGCGCTCAAACTCCGGCCCTCTGCGCAGATTCCCTGATGACGGAGAGATGTGATGCCGGAACTACGCACCTCCCCTTGAGTTGTCAAGCAGGATCTCTTTTTCGGGGATGCTCGCTCTTTTCCGGATTTCCTATGCCATGTCCAGGCGTATAGGGTGCCAAATGGGTGGTTCTACTTCCTAGATACTCCCGGGGTCTGGGCATCAGGTGAAGCTTACAGCCGGGTTTTGGCGGGTGCGTGACATACGCCTCCTCAAGAGGATTGGCGAGTGTATATTTGTGCTGTCCTTTTCCGTTGATCTTGCCGAAGGCTTCTCTGCTAGTCTCTGACCTGGTGGTGCTTGAACCCTTGCCAGATCGTTGGATGCTCCGGAGTCCCAAAGCTAAGTAAATCCCAACTGATGTACAGGGCATTGTGATTTATGAGATCTCATCCTGGAAGGTTGCAAGAGAAGCTTTGGGCAGTTTGGGTTCAGGGCTCATCGAATCTCACGAGCATTTAAATTTCAGCAGTTTTCAACACAGTGTTACGGTTGCATTGTCGCACTACTTGTGACCTTACTGTTCATACGCCCGTAGATCCGGGGTTGCAGCTCCAGAGCTTCTCGAACATGTGGCACATTACCCATCCAATACCCTATGCCCACAACGAGCAACGCAGGGCTTCCAATGGGTCGTGATAGTATTCCTTGGTTGCTCTTTCGCAACTATAGCATCAGTGGATTTGGGTCCCCTGTACGAAGCTCGCCCTGTTGCGCACAAAGCGCGAATCGCAAGTTCCTCCCCAACCCAGCAAGATCGTGGACTTCACCCGTCTTGAGGTGTTCGCTGGAGGTAGTTCAGTCTCTACTCCAACTCCTTCGCCTCATGCTGGAACTACGCCCTCGGCCTCTGCAACACAGGTCGAGGAATCCTACGCCCTACGTTCTGGAGTCGTAGGCCGACAAGCTCCTCAGGGCCGAGCCGGGGCGGGAAAGGAAACTTCGCTGCAGCACAAGACTAGACAAATGGCGATGTTGATAGCTCTCTCTCTCTCTCTCTCTCTCTCTCTCTCTTTCTTTCTCTCTCTCTCTCTCTCTCTCCCCCTGTGTGTGTGTATATATGTGTTTATGCATAATAATAATAATAGTAGTAATAATAAATAAATAAAATAAATAAATAAATAAATATATATATATATATACATACATACATACATACATACATACATACATACATGTATACATTTTTGAGGAAGTGTTCTGTAGTCAGCATTTACCTTTAAGCATGCAGCCAGGTATCTGCTTTGCATGAGTGAGCTTCATCATGCGAGCGTGTCGGACGTTAGTTGAGCTGTTGGGCTGGTGCCTTGGCATAAGCACCCCCCCCAAGGCCTCGAGAAGAACATGTGGCAAAAGGTCATCTCGAGGACCCATCGAGCCCCTACCGATGCTTAAGGGGGTATGGGAGTTTCAGAATTGACGGACGGAAGTTTCGACCCCAAGTATTGGGATTTCTGAGATAAAGACCCCCAGAATTCACAATCCATTCTTTACATCTTGTGTAGCAGAGCTGCAGCTTCAAATCGGTCCGAGTTCACGTTTAGATGCATCCCAATCCCTTAATGGGGACATTGCCCTTAAGAGCTCATGCTTAGGTGGCGGGTTGGGTTCCCATCAAAACCACTTCTCCAACGCCAATTACCGAAGGCCCGGGTTAGCCAGAGCTGGTTCGTGAACGTCACATGCAGCACCTCTGCTCAGAGGCTGTATTCCTACAACATCCCCGCCATGCCCATCCAGAGTCCCGGAATTCTTCCATCCGCACAGCTGAAGGCCTTCCTAAACCGCTATGCCGCCTGGCTGAAGGCATCTCCCGGACCATGCCTGCGGCCTGGACGTTTGGGGTTTGGGGTTTAGACTTCCAGCCCGTCAGTAAACAACAACCGCCGAGGTACTTCTGCGAAAAAACATGGGATTCATCGTGTTGTTCGTTCAAATCGCACCGGTGTCTATGATCTTGCATATGACATCGCCGAAGTTGGTGCAGAACCGTCGGGATTGTCGTTAGAAATCCATGCTCCTGCAGCCTCGAGCGATGGTGCGTATGCGTGCGCGGTGGAAAATAGAGGGTGAATTCTAATCAGTCTTTGACCGCTTTGCTTGGCCCAATCACTGAGGTACGTCCGTAGGTGACCCGAGTCGTCGCGTTCGTCATAGAGCTCGTCCGGTAGCAGCAGGAGTATTCGGATGTAGCCGGTGTCTGAGTCGGAGCCGCAGTAGTAGCTGTGGCCGAAGTCTGGTTGCAGCAGTAGGGGGAGTGTTGGTGGTACCAGTGAAATTAGTGATCGTGCCGTCGTAGTCGAGGACAGGCCGATAATGCCCCGCTTGCTTTCACTAGAAGACAACTAGTAGATGCCGCAGGGCTCTAGATTTCCAGGCTCGGACTTGTTCTGTCTCAAGTTTGGGCTCTAGGATTCAGGGCCGGTGCGAGCATACGCCTTGACCGGACCTTTGCTGGGTCGGCCGGCAATGTGGCGGCTCTTCGCTCCCTTTGCGACGGTGTGCTTCGCGGCGCCGGCAGACCATTGGGAGCGGGTCAGGCCCCGTGCCTTAAGCAAAATCAATACATCAGAGGTTGGGGTGGGACATTTAAGCGTCCACTCACGCTGCCAGATTCATGGGCTCGCATCGCTTCTCAAGCCTGCACGAGCCTGCATGTGAGGCAAGTTTTGCACCTTCAGCCGCTGATCAAGGACGCCGTTCGTAGATCTTCATGATTCTGAAAAGTGCTTTACTGGCCTCAGGCCTTCCACAGAAAGTCATTTATTAGTCCCAGGGCTCACGACTCTCCCACAGACCTTTGCACGTGGGGTGTGACAGCTTGAGATCCTTCCGCAGAGGACGTCGCCCTGCTAGTGGGCGATGGGCAACATCGCCTTTTTCACATGGACCCCGGGATCAGCATGTTAGTTTGCAGCACTGCGCGCACCCGCTTGTATGCAAGCTGGCTTTGGGTTTGAGTATGGTTTGGGGAGTTTAGGGGTACCATGTCCTGGACATGTGCTCGCCTGACTGCAGCCATGTACTGTAGTATGCGTTGGTTACGGAAAGAAGTTACCTTTTTCAACACCGACGAGGCGTCACTCCAAGCACCGAGAATCCCAGCTTGAAGTGAACCATGCCAATACTGCATCTGTGGAGTGCCGGGAATCGTCTTTTGGCATCTAGCAAGCAGAGAGCCACAGCCCAGGAGCGTGGGGACATGACTCTGGAGAAGCCGCTGTGGGTCGCCTCGTCCTCAAAGATGGTGCCTTGGCTAGTCTTGTAGGGATGAGGACATGGGAGGAGAGAGAGGCAGCGCGGGAGGGGAGGGAGGAAGAGAAAAAGAGTTGTATGTACAGCGTATAATGTGGAGAAAGAGAGTTGGAGAGAAGACAGAGAATCAAAGAGAGAAGCAGCAAGAAGCAGACTTGCAGAGACAGGGACAGGGATCCGGGGGAGTGGTCAACATACGAGTTTTCACGCCCTTCCAAAGCACCAGAAATTGCAAGGGGTCCCAGTGGCCTGACATGCCCTTCAAGCCCTAGCGAAGAAGAAGAAGAACAGCGAGAGAGAGAGAGAGATCTAGACAGAGACAGGCAGGCAGACAGGCAGACAGACAGACAGACAAACAGACAGTGAGACAGACACAGAGACAGAGACACAGAGACACAGAGACAGCCAGCCAGCCAGCCAGGGCAGGCAGCCAGCCAGGCAGGCAGGCAGGCAGGCAGGCAGTGGGCCGGAATAGGAGTTTCACGGTGCGAGCACGAGAAAGACAGAGAAAGATAGAGAAAGAAAGACAGAGCGAGAGGGAGAGAGAGAGAGAGAGAGAGCACGAGAGAGCGAGAGCAGAACCGTCTATATGGAGATTATATACTGGTTGTTCTTCGGGGTGTTGAATCCAACAAGCTGCGCTCGGGGGCTGATGGGCTGTCATTCCCTCCACGTCGTTATAACTTTTTGGGACCGGCTGTGCCAGCATCACTTGATTGTCCATCCTTACTTTATGCTGCTGGTTTCCCTCAACCATTTTTAATCGCCCTTCAAAGCCCCGAACACACAAGGGGGGGCCCTAGTGGCCGGGGCATCCGACACCTCCATCAAGAGCACGAGAGCGAGACAGATTTAGCTTTGAAAAGAACGACGTAGATATGCCGAGCACGGGTCGAGCCAACAGACCTGGTGCCCTTGCTCACGAGCTCCGAAAAGTTGTCGAGGTCTTCGTCGTGCGGGCCATGCAGATGGTGGAGCCATGGCCTTTGTGTACAGTAGCTGCGAGAAACGTGCGGGTCATGATGCTGATCGGACGAGTAATTACGAAGTGTCGCAGGATGTCTGTAGCCGATTGATCTCATATCCCAGACCAAAAGGGGGCCGGACTCCAGGATCCCTCCTCGGCCAAGGAGCAAGGGCTGCTGAAGCTCCACGACCCGGTGAACAGGTATCTTCCCTACTGGGCACAAGACTCCAGTGACCCTCGTTCACAGGCCCTGCGGCTGAAGGACTCAGTTCATGCGGCATCGTGTTTGCAGGCACGATTTTCGGCGAAGGTTGCTCCGGGTTCTTTCGCAATCCGGCAGCTACAGTCTTTGAATGCGAACACACTCGGCCGAACGGGAGTTGAGAGTGCAAGTCCTTCCAAAATCTTGTTTGCATGTTTCGCGAGAACTGTAGCCGACTGTAGCCATGTGCTCGCACCTTGTCAGGTTACTCTGTTCCACCTCCTCAGTTTCCAGTCTGGCTACACCTTCGGCCTGACAAAGGTGGCTGTGTCGCTTCCGTGGTATTTTGATGCTGACCCGCAAAGCTGCTGCCTGCTGCCAGGTGGATTCGTGCTGGCTCAAGCCCTGGCTGAAGCTTGTCTACCTAGCGTCATGCTTGAGTAGATAGATCCAGACACCCGACAAACCCATCCACATGTCTGTAGCAGTTGGCGAGGCTGCAGCTGAAGAAGTTGCCTTAAGCATCGGCACACCCATGGCCCATGGATTCTCAACGAAGCCTCTAGCTCCGTTGGATCCTTTATCGCTTTGTCCCGCCTTTTTCCAAGGAGCATCAGCTGTTCTGTCAGCCTTCGTCAGAAACTCCTACACAGGGAGTTCCAACAGGTGTACAGCAATCCGTTTCAAGCAAACCTTTCAGAAGCGCCAGGAAGGATGTATAGAACCTTCATAGAAGCCGGTTTCGGGCTTCGGGGACACCGAAGCCCACCAAGATCAACCTTTTCGCCCGAGGAACTTCAGTGCGTGTGTCGAGCGCCTCTACGACTCCCTGCCGCTGGGGGCCGCCCCGGGCACTGTGTGGGACTACAATGAGTTCCACAACCAGGCCCGTCGGTAGTACGTCGCTCTTCTTCCTCTGCTTTCCATTACAAACATCGTTCTTGTTGTGGCAAGATTGAGGAAAACTGGTCAGTTTACTACGGCCCATCGTGAACATCAAAGTTCCTGTCCTTGCTACACGGCTACACTGTGTATTCATTCATCTTGCTCCTGTAGCTAATCTTCTCACCAGCAATACCTTATACAGGCGCATGAGTCACCAGTTGATGATTCCTCGTGGTTCCCCAGTATAGCTGTCGTAACTAGCAATTTGCGGTCTCTCTATGTCATCTGTCCGACCACCACCACCACCACCCAGCAGCGGCAGCAGCAGCAGCAGCAGCAGCAGCATCTCGTGTTAGCACCATGTTGTGTTGTTTATCTCAATCTTTGTCTTCTTTCTTGGGTTTACTGTTTCTGATTGTTCTTGCTCTTACGAACACAGTTCGTTATGCTCAGGTGTGCAGTCATGATTTCATTTGTCAGTTGTCAGATGGCAGTGGTAGTGCCCCTTTTGTTGTTGCCCTTCTGTTGACATTTCTGTCGTTTTTTTTGCTGCTTCTCCAGCTGATGTAGTTGTGGTTGTCGTCGTTGCCGCGTTGTTTGTTGGGAATGTGCATCGTGACAACGAGTACATTTCTTATGTTATGTTCTGCTTCATCTGTCGTTTTTCTGCTGTTGCCCGTTCGGCTAAACTTGTATTTGCTTCTGTTGTGCTACTGTCTTGTGCGTCTGCTTCTTCAAGAATAGTCCTTTTTGTCGCCGCACGTTTGGGTACCGTTAATAATTTTCCTCATCATGAAAGCCATTGTTACCCGTGTGATGTTTTAAAGTTTTGCTTAGACTCTCCTTGCTGGCGCTTCTTTTGGATGTGTCTGCTGTGCTTGCTGTCGTTGCTCTCGTTGCTCCCTGAGGGACCTTCCATGTCAACGACCATGAGGAAGAATCCTTGTGGACGGGCGCGTCATCATTCGGGTGTGCGCTGGGTGTGGGAGTTTCGGTTACTTGGCCAACTTGTCACCGCCCCTCCCTACCCCAATGTGCTTGGACGGGGGTGTCGAAGTACATCCCCCCTGTTCCGATGGGCCCAGTAGGGATCCCAGTGCAATTGTTTTAAGTGGAACATTCCCGCTGAGAGCTGTACTTGGGCGTCTTCAGTCATGGATCCCCGCAGCAACAACCAGCAACGAAAAATGTGGTTAGGGGGGGGTTGGTGGGGGACTCCCAATCACGGTGGGTGCTCTGCGTGTGGGAGTTTCGGAGTTGGCCAACTTGTCTGTGCTATCGCGTGTGCTCCCATGAGCCCTAAAACCCTCCCTAAACACCAAACCCTAAACTTGGTACACTTTTCGATTGGTGCGTGTCATCCTTGCGCAGGGGCCATGCTATGGATCTGTTCCTGCACTATCAACTGTATCCCGCTGTGCTCTCTCTCACCTGTGCCGGCTCAGGCTGAAACAGTGACAAATTGACAAGCTGCGTTGCTGCTATGTCAACTTTCTGCAACGGTATCAGTGCACACTGGACTCATGACAAGCTTGTGAGCCTGCAAGTACACCGCGGAGGGTACAGGAGGCTGTACCGCTGTCGCTTGCAGATTGTGTCGCTGTCCCTGGCAATCTTACGACTGCGGTCTCGAAAAACTGCAATCTCCAAAGACACTTCCCTGAGACTGCATCTTGAAGAGTTTGGGAATGAAGTAGGTTTTGGTTAAAAGTTTTGGACTTACAGAATGTGGGAATTAATTCAAGATGGCATTTTGCTGCGCAGCAAGTGCTTGTCAGCATTTTAGCTGTGTTCTAAGGCAGCACTTCCGTCAGATATGCCAATGAGTTCTCTTGATGAAGCTCACTATGCCGTCTGTCGGTGCCTTGTAGGAACCCTACCTGACAGCCTGGCGTACTTTCACTGAATGGCTAGTAAGTGTCGGAACGGATTTTGCTTGGCACTCTAATCAGCTCATGCTGTGGGAATCCCCATCTCCGGCACCAAGTACCGGTTTTACTGAGAGCATAGTCGTCGGAGCAAGGATTTTGCTTGTGAGCTTTGCATAGAGCCTGAAAGCCAAAGCAGCCTCGCTTGTGAGCTTTGTCCTCAGCCATGCGAGAGCGAAGAACACCCTCCTACACCCAAAACCTGATTTCTTCGATTATTTTTAACATTCGGACTGTCGCGTGACACCTCTCCGGAGGGACACTGCAAAGAAAACTCAGGCGACGACAAAACTCGGCCAGAGCACTAGCACTCGGGATAGACAGCACCGAAACCCCAGCAAAAACATATTGGAGAAGCTCCAGCTCAGAGGTCGTGGCGGCGGTCTTGGAGAAGGTGACTGGCACCGACATCTACACGCTCCTGTCCGAGGACACTGGGTTGCGAGGGTTTGGCGTTTAATTTTTTGGACCAGCGTTGCTTGATGCCTCCGAACATGTGTGGGTTGCGTGGCGGCGGTGCAGGCCGGACGAGAAAAGGGCTTGTAGAGCTGAGGGTCCAGTCTAGGGTAGGGTTATGAGGGCCAGATTCTCGGTTCATGCGGCTGTCAGAGATGTTGTGAAGCACAGCGGGTATCTGCAGGCTATTTAGTTGCCCGAATGAGGGATGTGGTGGAGCCAAGCACATCGCCTCAAGACTATAGCTTCCCTTCTCGGGCAGAGCATGCAAAGCCGCGAGTTCATGTGTCATGGGCATGCCGAACCAGAATCATGGATAAGCCCCGAAGTCCAAATCCTCCGCTCATGCTGGGCCCTAAACTGGCATCCCTTCAGTGCGGGCCTGGCTCATATCCAAAACCCTGAAGTCATGGCTTACTCCCCAAGACCTAATGATTTATCTAAAAGGGTCTTTCCGACTTTCCTTTGTTTTCCGAGTGGTGTCGAAGTGGGTTTACGTTCTTGGGGGGCCAGTCTAGTCTTTGAGGACCTGAAATCCTGGAACATGACGCATAGCCGCTATCCGCATCACTTCGGGCCGGGGGGCCCGGATGTGAGCGCCGACCTGGTGACAACGGCCGTGGACTACGAGCAGCCCCATGGCCTCGGTTGTTTCCCTTCAGCCTTGAGCCCTTTGAGGGATTTTACAGAACGGCGACAAGATCCCGCTGGTTTCTCCGGTCAGCAGTTTTAAAAATGATCCCTGTAATGGTTTCCTATGAATTACCCCCCCCCCCCCCCCCCCCCCC